GGTTCTTCTCAATGACAGGCGCATTTGGCTCCTTGCCACGATGAAGTCGTGAGCTTGTGCTGTCCTTTGTCATGCAAGTGAGATCGGTAGTAGCAACAACAATGATAAAGCTAATTTTTCATTTTTAAAGTTATAACGTTTAAATAATTATCTAATTTTTATCAAGTTGATTTCGCCCTACCTCTACTGATTTCATTTTCAGGCGCAAATAACAGAGAGCATTGACTATAAGCCAGCGGTTCGCAACCTTTTGACTAATGCGTACCATCTAAACAAAAATTGAAAAACTTTAATACCACCACTACATTTTACAATGACTATCATTCACCTTCCCAATAGAAATATATTAAAAAATTATATTTTGCCATTTGTACAACCTATTGGCTATTTGTATTGAATTTGCAAATATTAAAATATTAGATAAAAAATTGGTTACCATTTTAATTAATCAAAATTTAAGTTATTCTAAAATTTCTAAAATTTAGTGTGAAAATTAGTTAATTCTGTGTAGAATTTTAGTATGAATAGTTCTAAAATTTAGTATGAAATTTAGGGCTGTTTAAGAGAGATCAATTTCTTTATGTCTGGTCTTATTTTACTTGGTGTCCGCCGATAACATCGCGGCAAAAACATCGTGGACGAAAACGTTGCGGAGAAAACAACGCAAGGCGAAATCGTCGTGCTACAAAACATCGTGGGAGAAAACATCGCAAAGAGAAAACATTGCAGTTCTAAAACATCGTGGCATCGACGTCGAAAATAAAGCGGTTTGAAAACTTCGCAGGTTAAAAACATCATCGTCGAAAATGTCGTGGTAAAAAATAAAGTATCTACAAATCATCGCATGACGATAACATCGTAGACATGCTTTTTTCAGGTTTTAATAATTCTAATTGGATATTCCCATAATGATTTGTGAGCGCAAGGTGTAAAGAAGAAGAATTTTTACTTTCACATTTTTTTATTAACTAATAAATTTTTGCTGGAAAAGTAAGAAGGAAACTTAAGCATAGAAAATTAAATGCAAATTATAGATTATACTTTTCATGAAAAATTACCAGTAGAAACTTTATAAAATAATTTATTAATGGGCTTTGTTAGTTAACTATGTCGGTTTAAAATTCTATTAAGTGCTATAAGTTGCATTAATTTTCTACGCTTAAGTTTCCTTCTTATTTTCTCAGCAATAATTTATTAGTATATAAAAAATATGAAAGTAAAAATTATCCTTCTTTCTATCTTGCGCTCACAAATCATTATGGGAATATCCATTTATAGTTTCTAAAGCCTGAAAAAAGCATGTCTACGATGTTATCGTCATGCTATGATTTGTAGATACTTAATTTTTTACCACGATATCTTCGACTACGATGTTTTTAAACTGCGAAGTTTTTGAACCGCTTAATTTTCGACGGCGATGTTTTAAACCACGATGTTTTAGAGCTGCGAAGTTTTCTGTTTGCGATGTTTTCTCCCACGATGTTTTGTAGCACGACGTTTTCGCCTTGCGTTGTTTCTCCGCGACGTTTTCGTCCACGATGTTTTTGCCGCGATGATTTCGGCTGTAACCGGGCCGAATTTAATTCTTCGAGTACTCTAACCTTCCCTTCTGCACCCATTATTTAGCTTGAGATCAAATTAGAATTGCTTAATGACTTATTTATTTATAGCATATACCTGAGAGCCTTATTAGTGTGGCACTTTTAAAAGGCGCTCACAATTTCCGAAAAATTAATTTAAATTGCATTTACAGAAGATTAAAATTTGCTATCACACTGCAAGGTGTGGATTATGCTTTAAGTTTTGTTGCAATTACAAGTTAAAGTTTATTCTGATTTCACTTCTTTTTTTGTATTTCATTATGTTGAAATTTAGTCTTCTAATTAGACGGGCAACTAACTGAAAGAACTCTGATACTCTACATAGTTTTAGTAAACACTTAGGATTCACTTGGATTATTTAACTTGGGAAAAGCAAATAACAACTATATACTTTAATTGCACTAAATGCCCTCTAATACTCGGAGTGATATGAAACAGAATTATCTTATGCCTGTCTTTCCCTACTACCAAACAAGACACTGGAATCATAAACGTCCTTTCCTTAAATCAAATTGAAAGATAAACACACCATTTTATATATTACCCAATGTAAAATTAAGAAACACGGCGATCTTAATTTGGTACAGATCTTAATTTCTTAGTAATATTAAATAAATTCTTAATTTAATATATATTAAATAAAGTTATGGCGATTTCGAGAGCGATGTCTCTCCTCTTCAGGAATTTTTTTCTTTCAAAATCAATGTCAAACTATGACTGATTTTTTACTTAATTTCAAAATTTACGCTGCTGTCTTTCGTTTCCAACTTTCGATCTACCTATCAATCAATGGTTTAGATAATTTTCTTTCAGTTTCCTTTGACATACTGAAAATTTTCTGCTCCTGACGAAGACGAATCGCTACCTGATTACTCTTGAAATCGATAAAGTTTCATTCAAAATATACGCCAAAGTAAGCCTGATTTTTTGCCTAATTTTAAAATCATATTCCTTATATGGAATTCAAAACCCGACGAAATAACGAAGGACTCGTTCAAGCTGAATTAACCATCACACTATCCGTGGCGACGTAGGCAATTTTTGAATTCGTAGTTTGAAATACATTAAAAATGTTTTGCAATAAAATACAAATATGAACAAATCATTTCAAATAAATACAATAAAACATCATTTAGCTAGGTTAAGGTAAACGTTATCTTTAAAAATACGTAATTTAATAATCAGTACAGTGTTTTGTAAAGAATATTTGATCAAGAGCCCCTTAAAATTTCACTGCAAATAAATTCAGAAATCAAGCTCTTTGAAAATTTATAATAAAAGAAGAAATTTATGAGTAACTGTAAAAGGACCCCATTATTGATTTAATGGAGTCGTCAAACAGAAAGCCTACCTGCCAGGATATTTCGATCTATAGTCCTACGACAAAACAATATTGAGCTCTAAGGGACGCACTCCATATTCGAAACGGCGTTTCGTACCGGAAATTCGAATCGGATGACGGAAAGATAACAACTGATACTTCCATGATCTCGGATCCCGGTCGTCCTTAAAGAACTACATACGAGTCCTACAGGAGATCACCTCGTAATAATAAAGAATTGCAAAGAGTTCGCGAGCGCTTCTACTGGAGTAATGCAAAGAAGGACGTGAAAAAGTGGTGCCGATCTTGCGATGTTTGTGCAGGTTGGAAAGGACCGAAGAAAGCAACCGAGGCAAGCTACAAAGTCACAATGTAGGAGTACCTTTTGAACTTATCGCATTTGAGACCCTGGGATATCTTCCACGAACTGCTGATGATAACAAATACGTCTTCGTTGTCATTGATTGCTTCACCAGGTGGCCTGAAGGGTATCCTATTCCTGATCAATGGCTGTCACAGTAGCAGAGGTAATGATACAGCATTGGATTTACAGGTTTGGAGTGCCTCTTCAAGTGCATTCCGGGCATGGAAGGAATTTTGCATCGGCTGTAATTAACTGCAAGCTACTCGGATTGCCCAAACCAAAAATATCCCCAGTCAGACGGCTTTGTTTGAAAAGTTTAATCGGACCATCCTTAATAACCTCTCGTTGGTGGTTTCAAGAAACCAGCAGGACTGGGACAAGAAGTTACCTCTGTTTTACTGGCTTATCACAATACTGTCCACGAGACTACCGCCTATTCCCTATCTCAGATGCTCTTCGGTCGTTATCTTCGTCTGCCTTGTGATCTTCTGTTTCGTCGCTCTCAGGATGCGTCTTCATCGCCTGAGAAGTACATCCAAAATCTCCAGGCACGGCTTGAAGTGATGCACAAGTTTGTATGAGAGCAAGTAAACTTGGCAACGGAGAAGATGAACACCCAATACGGCACGAGAGTTACAGGACATCGATTTAACGAAGGAGACAAGCTGTGGTTGTGGAATCCGATCCGATGGAAAAGACTCTGTCCTAAGTTACAATCATCTTGGGATGGCCCTTACACAGTCCTAAACAGGCTAAGCGATGTCGTAATTTAGATCCGTATGTCATCAAATTCTAAGTCATCCATTACGAAAGGCTAGCTCCTTACTATGGCCATAGTACGTAGAGTATGTAATGTAAATAGTAGGAGACCATCTTCCTTTTTGTTTCTAAATTTGTAACTTTGTTCACTCGTTTGTTGATTTAGTATTTGATATTTTTTATGCTGCTTATTTCAATTACTGTTTATGTTTGCTTGTAATTGTATTGTAATGTGTATTATTGCACTGATTCTTAAGTATGGTTTCCTGTCTAGGAATCGTACTGCCTGGAACGTGCAGTCTATGGGAAGGGGACAGTGTTACGAATTTCGTACTTAGATGGCTAATACTAGTAGAATTATAATTAAAATTGTTTTACTTCCGGGTGCAATGCACGAGACAAATATTAAGAGAAAGCTATGTTTGAAAAGTAAAAATACAGGATCACGTGCATTTAACATTGAATAAATGAATATATCGGTAATTTGTATTGAAATTCAATAAATGTAATTGATTATTGTGTTAGCTGTAACTGTAATTTCATCCTCTTATTGCCTTCCAGAAATCTCGGGAAGCATAAAATGCTAGAACTATCTCGCACGGCCTATTGAAAGCTATAAAAAGATAAAAAGTCAGAGAGAGAACATCTCAGCTCATCTTGTTATTGCGAGTTCAGCGTAAGATAGGATTCACTTTCTCTTTAAATGCACAGTGCATTGCGTCCTGTTTAACGTTTTCAGTAGTTTGAAGTAAAAATACTGTTTACTATTGCGCGATATTGTGAACATTTGTACAAATACCTCTGAGGAAAATTCCAGCTTTCTGTTATATTTCGTTTGATAAGACTAAATTTTATTAACCTTTTATCGGACTTTTGAATTCAATCTATTACGAACCCGTACTCACACAACAATATTTACTTTTATATTGTGTCAATTATTTTGCATAATTTATACGAAATTGGAAATAAATTAGCATTACCGTAAACAGTCATGTGGCCTATTTCGGAATCTTCACCTGTCATGGATGAGATGTGGCACAAGTATTTTCCGCTATGTCCCGTGGTAGGCCACAAGAATTTCACAGCCCTGTATTTCGTGTACTTGCCTCCGCCTGGGACTACGTACGTTGTATCGATGAGGAATTTACCAGAAGGAGACCTGCTGTTTATTTCCGGAATCCATTGATATACTGGTTGTGGATCATCTTCATGGAACCACCTCACGACTAGCTTTTCTTCTTCATTCACGTTGTAAGTAAATTCGCAGTCCAAGAGGACGGCCTCCTCGCTGGCATTCTTGACAAATTTAGGAATGCTGAGCCGAGTGATCTCGATCGATAAGCATGCTGAAAAAATAAGTAATCTTTAACTGCAAGCTTTCATAAATTGTGCTACATAGTAAATCACATTAAAAATACATTAATTTAAATATATGTATTTGTTAGTTATTTAAAACTGTTCTAAATACAGAAAATTTGCCGGTTTCAATTAAGAAAAAAAAAAAAAAGCTGCATGTCTGAAGGTAATACATTTTTCGAAATGAGTTTTACGTCTTCAAATATATACTTATTATACATTAAAAAGTACAGAGAACTAAATATATACATACGGAGCATGAACAGCACGCCAAACTAAACTAAATCAGTTGCCAAAATTATAATTCTATTGTTTAACAGTAAAAATCAAAATATTCATGAAACAATTCATATAAAAATAAATAAAAAAATTCAGTTTTAAGAGTCATAGTAGTCGTCTGTCATTTTCAAAAGTAAATACGAGGACTGAAGTAAATAGAATTACTTAAATGTGAAGAATAATTTCTTATATTAAAGTTTGCCAACAAAATTCAGCTTCCGAATCTGTGAAATTCGTGCACAAATGCATTTCTTGTATGATATGTTGCAATACTGATTGATTTTGGCTTAAATGAGTTCCCTTAGTCGTTTAGATTAGTATCAAGATATAGGGATTGGTAGACTTTGAGCTGGCATCTCTCAAGCCTCGATTATTAATTACTAGAGTCTTGAATGATGGTATTCAGATTTTGGCCCCACTACTATATTGTAGATAGCATTATCTAAAGGCCTTCTGATAATGCTATCCATAGTTTGACCAATGGCCGTCTGAGACCCAAGACACTGCAGAGGATGAACGCATAGCATTAAATACATGATGCCATATAGAGGATAGTTGGATAGTGTTTTCAGGACTTTGCTGAGACTTTTCGAGCTACTCGACGCTCACCCCCGATGACTAGCAGTGTGTATACTCCTAATGAGATCACAGAAAACAGTCTGTGTTTTACAGAGCCAGGTGCACCATCCTTGGATGCAGCAAGATTGAGACAATGTTTCTTATTTAATGAGAAAAGATTCAGCCTACAGAATTCAGCTTAAGTGCTGGATTCAGGAGCAGACTGTAGATGCGACCGCCTTCTACGATCATTGACATAAGAAACTTCCTAAACTATCTTTCTCTTCAAGTCTATTTTCAGTTCTTAGCATCAATTATTTGATGCATATGGGGCAAATATGCCCCGTATAGTAACAGCCTGTAACGTTTTACACACACAGTGATATATGCTATATAGTGAATGCAACATATATCAAGCCACTACAAAATTTTATTTATATACGGAGTACAGTATTTGTATATGTATATTATATTGCTAAAATTAGACTAAATGAATCCTATGAGCTTGCTTGCATATATCTTTCCTTCATCCACTAACTATCCTTCAGCTCTAAGCTTAACTTTCTTTTTGCTAAATCTTTCAAACACTATTTCTTCATGGTAACTCTATAAATAAACTGGAAATTCTCAGTTGTAAATATTAATATCCGATGATATTTCATCCTTTCAAAATTCAAATGAAAATTTTTTATACACCATGGATATAAAATTTCTTATGCGAGCATTTGAAAAATCAGTTTTGTAAAAATTATAAAATCTTATTTTTTATACGATCCCCCAACTTCTATAATTGTATTTAATAATACTTAGTACTAATTATAAAAATATAGAACACAAAAGGATTGAATCTCGCGCGGCGAAATCTGATCGAATTACTTGATTTTAAAAATATGGGAATTTTGTTATGCTTATTTTCGGCTTTCTCTGAGGATTCGTTTAGACTAAAAGAAATAAAATGAAATTTTCTTTTTAGTTTAGTACAAGTTTAAATATTTCGGCCTTAAATTTATAAATGGCCCCTGAATATGATCTCAAATTTTAATCTCTACATATAATAAAAGAAAGAGTCTGTCTGTGTGTGTCTTCCATTCGCGCTGCGCGTAAACTAATAGACCCAGGGCTACGAAATTTGATACTACATAGGCGCATCTAAACAAGAGCCAGTGTACCTCGAAGCGATCTTTTTCAAAACTCGAATCAGATTTTTTTTTCATTTTATCTTTTTTGATGAAATCCAATCATTTTGAATAGTTTCATTCTTTTAGAAATTTGGTTTCGGCAACAGTTTTTCATTCAATGCTTTGTATACTGTACTGCTGACTGTTGAAAATATGTTGTAAAATATTGTTACTTTTTTTCTGACGCCAGTTGTTACGTTATTTTCTTCCTTTACGTTCGTACGGGGTTCGTATAGATTTGGAGTGAATAATGACGACACTTGATTATGAAGTATCGAAACACACTTTATTTAGCCAGTACTAATCAGGAAAGCTTCAAAATCACGTTACAGTCGTCAAAGAACTACTATAAACACGCTGACACAATCAGCGACACAGCCTTCAGGTTATCAAGCTATAACGTTGAAGACAGCTTCACTGCAAAGTACCAGATTACAGCTCCCGACTCTGCTCGGTCGTTCTCGGAACTCCACATACTCTCGAGACTCTCCATACTACAACTCGCGATGCACTCGACGACACACAGAGCACGGCTCCCTACTCTTCGGTTCAGTCGTTCCCCGAGCTCAACACGCTCTCTCGACGATGCACTAACTGCGATACACTAAGAGACTTTTCGATGCACTCGACGACCAACTCGGCGTTCTCCAACTACCACGTTTAGCACTATTAATTCTATTGCAGTCATTAATAGGAGCAATACCGCTTTAGTAAAGTCTTACTGATATTCAGTCAACAATAAATTTGCCTATTTTACGTCAATATTTACGCTGAATTCCTTTATGTGCTTACTACTCACATATTACAGGGTTATTTTTCTCGTTATATTTTAATGACTTAACGTTTTGAACAACAAAATTTATTTACACAAATACCAGACATTTGGCCACTAAGCCATTAGTCTTGATCTTGCTTCTCGCTACTTAACGTGACAATACTTAAAGTGTAATGTGACAGGCCTCTTCGTGGTTCATCTGGTTAGAGCTAAATCTGTTACAGCGTTGGCTCGCTTAATTGTTCTTTTTGAACAACAAAATAATTTCATTCAATCGACAGAAAATCTACACTCAGTGATAGGTTGCTTTTGCTGGACAGTTCACATCCCTTTACGCGGAAAATAGATAGCTTAAATGCATACAATAACATACAAATAAAAAATAAAAATACATATAAATTATGCACTGCAGCAAAGTAATGATTTTTAGATGCGCAGAAAACGCAAGCTTTTTCCAAACACAAAAAAATCAAATACCTCCTTGCCATTACCGAACCACGGGTTTTCTAGTTGCTCCTTGGCGTGTTACCACATAACTCATAAGACAATGTTCGGGAAAGTGCAGCGATTCCTTATATTCCCCCTCGATTGAGGACGGACAAGACCCACGCAACCAAATCAGTTGGAGATGAATTACTGTTCACCATATCTTTTAGTTCGATATTACTTATTGAAGACATTGATTTTTTTCGAAAAGAGAGGTGAAAAATCAAATGTGCCCTCTTCGGGATTCAAACCATAGGGCTTCTGATTGCTAGCCGGCCGTTCTGCCACTTATATCATGACAGCCCATACCAGTAGATGCGATAATTTTTTTATATTCTCCACCAATTAAGGGGAAACTGGGGAGAAATGAGGAGGCCCAGTCGGTCCAATATATTGTTGCGTGCGTACGGGTTCGTTACGAAATGAATGCACAAGTCTGATGTAAAAGGAACGAAATTTTATTATTATCACCACAAATAATGCTTAAATTTCTTCAGATATTCGTGCAGTATTACAAATCTCACATTAGTTATCTTTTAACTACTCAAACGTTCAAAAGAACTTAATTCAAAACAGCTAAAGAAAGCTAATCCGCGAATTCGCTACAATCAACAAGAGCAGTTTTCTAAACAAACTCTTAAAACAATAACAAACTTACTAACTAATAATCGAATTGAGAGGTATTCTTCCTTTTTATAAGATTTTAAATCTCGCGCGAGAAATTTCTGGAAATTTTTCAAAAGCAAAAAGAGATATTTATTTAATAAATGTTAAATGCACGTGCTCTTGTATTTTTAAATTTCCGGCTTAGCTTTCCTTTAATATTTGTCACGTGCTGCACTGCACAGGAAATAAAACAATTTAATTTATAATTCAACTAACATTAGATATTTAAATACGAAATCCGTAACAGTATTATCGTCCATCACAATTTAGTCGGGCGCCATTGTAGAGAAAAATAGATTTCATCAGAATTTATTTTAGGAAAGGTAAATATTCTATTTGCCCTTCTCGAGATTCGAACAGCGAATCGTCCGATTGCCAGCCAGGCATGAAAGACATGAAAGAAACATTTCCGGGAATCTTCGTTTTTCGGGTTATGTGATTGGTTACGCGAAAAAAAGGTCTTTAGGCAAAATTTAAGCGAAACTGAGCCTCAAGCTAACATATTCGTCTGAGTTGCAAAATGTCCCATATGAATAACCGGGACACTTCCAGCAGGACTATTCGAGCTGGGACCCTTCTGTTTAAACCAATGGTAGAAGAAGCTCGTTTTTCGGAAGTTTCTTTCAGCGTCGCAAGTCGCTAGGTGTTAAAACCCCATTACACCACGAGAGCGTGCACAGAAGAATGTGATAATTTCTTAAAAAGCTATTGTTATGGTTTTTGTATTTACTTTGCTATTTTTAGTAGAATTGTTATTAAATTGTTTCATTTCCCCGCAGCGCGCAACAAGTTTTAAGAGAAAGCTACGCCGAAAAAGTAAAAATACAAGAGCGTGCACATTTAACATTTAATAAATAGATATCTCGTAGATGTACTCTCGTAAATTTGGTATCCAGAAAAATGGAGAAAATACCAGAATGTTCCCGTGCATGATTAAAAAGCTTATAAAAGCCGGATCAAAACAACTCAGTTCAGTTTTTTATGAGTTGCTTACAAAGTTGTTTACGAGTAGTAAACAACTTGTTGTTGATTGTAGCGAATTCGCGGT